TGGTTTATATAAATCTTGTATAGGGATGGTGGTTGTTATTGAAATGTTATTTCATGGGTTTTGTAATTGTTTGTAGCTGATAGAAAGAAAGAAAAAAAAATAAAAAAACATGATATCTGTAACAAATGTTTTAAGAAGGGAAAAGGTTTGTGGAAAAAAACTATGACCTACTACTGGAAACAAGGGGACGATAAGAAGTAGGCTAGGAAGCACATGAAGGAAGAAATGTGAGGAGGGATTTGTGGTCAAGAGATAATTAAACGATCTTCAACATTTAATAACTTTATACAAGAATCGTATGAAACAAGTAAGACATGCTTTTAATGAACTTTTGGTTGGACCATAATTATTATATCGGTCCCATATTCCTCAACCAACGGTTTAATGTTTTCCAAACAATCATTAATTGCGGTCACACCATACCACACTTTCTATTATAAAAATAAACACCCTCTCATTTAACCACTAGGCTAGTGAATAACCATTTTATCCTTGTAGCTGGTCTCCATTCCATCGCTAATTTTATCATGTCAATGACATTAGTGGGGTGTAAATGACTGCCTATTTAAAACCTAAATGAAGAAGTTTATTTTTTATGGTTTGCTTAAGCTCAAGACCTAATCGGAGCAACTTATTCTTGATGTAAAAGTCGGCTAAAAATAAAAAGAATCTCTTAAAAAGAGAGTAATAACAAATTAAGCACTGTGCAAATGTAATCCTTGTTCACTAGTTAGTAATCATGTAAACCTCAAAGCTCTTTTCAATTTGATGACATATGTAAATGAACTAAATATTCAAGTGTTGTCCCATGCATCGATGATTCATGTTTTGTTCACGACAATGAAAGACAATGATAAATGTAAAAAGCTTAAAGGAAAAAAAAATGGTTGGTTCACATCAAAAAGAGATTAGACAATAATTAAAGTTATTTGTCATCAAATGGAACATGACTGATAAGTTTAGGAATTCAATATACATATGCATACATATCATTTTAAAATTAAATTAAATTAAATTAAACAAAGCACCAAAAGAGATTATGATTATGACCTTACATATCACTATTTATTTAATTTTGATAGTGCTTTACTTTTTTTTTTAAAATTTTAATTTGTCTTTTAACATTTGGTTTCTTGAAGATTAGACTTCATAATTTGTTTTGGTTTATTTTTATGGGATTATCTCAGCTTTTTTTTTAAATTTTAATTTGTCTTTTAACATTTAGTTTCTTGAAGATTAGACTTTATAATTTATTTTGGTTTATTTTTATGGGATTATCTCAGTTTTAAAACATGGATTACAACTTTACACATTATTACTCATTCATTTTAATAATGCTGTACTTTTTTTAAAACAATTTTTTTTTCAGTTTTAATATTATCTTTCTATATTTGATTTGTTGAGAATTAGAGTTCATGATTTATTTTTTATGGGAATATCTCAGCCTCACACATCATTGTTCATTCATTTTAATAGTGTTTTTCCCTTTTTTTATTATATGTTTTTTTTTTCAATTTTAATCTTATCTTTCAACATTTAGTTTGTTGATGATTGAACTTCATGATTTATCTTAATTTGCTTTCTATAAGGTTATTTTAGCTATATCATCCAGGTCACTAGTTTAATACGTTAATTAACTCGTTTAACTACAGTCCCCCCCATTTTAAATTGATCTTTTTTCAATTTTATTTGTTAATATTTTATTGACGAGAATTACATTTTATAATTTATTTTAGCTTGCTTTTATGAGGTTATCCTGGTCTTGAGACTTGAGTAATGAATTTGAAGAGTTAACCTACTATATTAAAACAATTGAAATTCATTTCTTTATTCATATGAATAATAAAGTTGCCCCTCCTTTTTTTTCCATCCCTTTTGTTTTTCAAATTTCATCCTTAATTTTTTTACCTTTTTTAACTTGATTCTTTTTTGGCCTAATTTCAGGAGATATAGTTTTCAATTAAATTAGAAAGATAAAATCTAAAATAAGAGGACCACAATATAAAACACTTATGGAATGCATGCCCTATCTCAAAGTTTTTGGAATTTTCATTCTCGTCTAGAATTTATTATGTTTAATTTTTTAGTCTTTAAGTTAGAGTGAGGAGAGAGAAACTTGTTGAAATATAATGAAGTTGTTATTTGGTCATGATTTGACTATCAAAATAGAGGATCTTTGTATCAATAAGTTTCTTTTCTTAAGATGAGTCTATTAAAGGTTAATTTCCCTCTAAACACTGCGAGGAAGGCAAATTATGTTCAATTTTGATTTTTAAAATTCAATTAATTGTGTTTTTTTGAAAGATTTTAAAGTGTTTTAGGGTTGTTGAGTAGTTTATATAGATTTTTATGGTGTTTTCAGGTGAAAAAAAAGTGAAAAGAAATATTTTTAAGATAAATTCCTCCTGATTTTCTAAACACCATAGTGATAATGGCTGGATGATAGGCGGTAGTTAATATGCAACTTGTTTCTCTCTTAATATAAAAAGAAGTGGATGATGTGTCATCCACTCTTGAGGAAAAAATAATTTATGTGCGCTCGAACTTTTGAATTCAAGCCAGACTTGCACTCTTGATATATTTTTTTTCTTTAATTTAAATTTAAAATTTTAAAATTAATTAATAAAAAGTTTAAAATAATTAAAAATATATTTAAGATATTATTTTATTGAATACCCGTCAATTTGTACTTTGTTTTCAAATAAGAGTATATTATTCAATTTATATATAGTTATTTTATGGTGAAAAGTTAACACACATTGCATATGGATCATATGGATGTAAACTGTAAAATTTTTAAAATAATTAAAAATATATTAAAAATATTATTTTATTCATATGGATGTAAACTGTAAAAAAAACATGTAAGGTTAAATATTTATAAATTAGAATACCCGTCAATTTTTACTTTATTTTCAAATAAGAGTATATTATTCAATTTATATATAGTTATTCTATGGTGAAAAGTTAACACACATTGCATATGGATGTAAACTGTAAAACAAACATGTAAGGTTAAATATTTATAAATTAATTTTATATTTTTTAGATATATTAAAAAATATATAAAAAACCATATCTCATCCAATTTGTGCTGGGTCTCACCTCATATTTGACCGAGCTACTTGCAAGCTAAGGTTTTGTCTATTTAAACCCAAAAGGAAAGATAATAAATTGGTGAACACAATAGAAAAAGGAGAGAAATTAAAGTATTGATAGCGCTCATCTAAAAAAATAAATAAAATGGAAAGTCCTGGGAATATGAGATGGAACCAACCAAAATCTATGGTCCCTCCTAATAATACCTTTAAATAGCAATATTCCGCAACAAGGAATTACCTCACTTAGTTACAGGAATCACCAAGTTTAGGATGATTATTTTTTAGTTTGTATGATTTTTATATAAAAAAATAATTAAACTAATTTTTTTTAAAAAATTGAAATTAGTTTAAACTTACTCGTTTCAGTTTGGTTCAATTTTTTTAAAATAAAAATCAGTTCAAACCAATTTAAATCAATTTTGGCTTTATTTTTTAGTTTAGTTTGGTTTTTTCTGATTTTTTGGGTTTGGATTTGATTCAGTTTAGTTCTTTTCTAATTTTTTTTTAAAAAATTGAAAATAGTTTAAACTTACTCGTTTCGGTTCGGTTCATTTTTTTAAAATAAAAACCAATTCAAATCAATTTAAATCAATTTTAGCTTGATTTTTTAGTTTAGCTTGGTTTTTTCTGGTTTTTTAGGTTTGGATTTGATTCAGTTTAGTTCTTTTAATTTTAGACTTATAAAACTGAACCAAACCGATCAGTTTTTTAAAATTCTAATTAGTTTAATCAGTTTTTTCACAATTTAGTTTTTTCAATTATTTTATTTTATTTTATTTATTTAATTTGTTTTTTAGTTTTTTTTCTTCACCCCTAACTAAGTTTATACATTAATTAGAAAAGATTTTCAGCAGATTAAATATCGGAGAACACCTCTAATGCGCCGAGAATTCCAATCTATCACAAATTAAGAGATTTTGAATGTTTTATTCTAATATTTCAAGAATCTAATCTAATATTTTTTTTTCTCAACTCGGTATTGATGTTTTATTTTTCTTCTTTTATCAACCCATTATGCGTATTTAATTTCTTTAAATACTTTGTAAGTAATTTATGTATCATGACAATAACTACAGTACACCTTTTGTATCGCATGATAGAAAAGCAATCCATGGGATGACAATTATATTTCCATAAACAGGAAGACTATACACCTCTTCCAAATCTTCTTTATTTAGATAAAGATCACCCAGATGAAAAAATTGCTGTGGAGTGTAATAAAAGTTATTTTTTAAAGTATATTTTGTTTGAAAATATATGATAATAATAATTTTTTTTTAAAAAATTATTTTTATATTAAAAAAATTTTAAAATATAAATTTTTTTACAAATACAATTTAACATATAAAAAAAAATACATCTAATAACACTTCACACAAAATCCAACAAATTATTCAATTTGATTACACAAATTAATAAAAATACTAGTATATTAAAGAATTAATTTAAACTAATAATTTAAAAGATTATGCGAAATCTTATGTTATAATTTATATTATTTTTTAATATATTTTTTCCAATAAAATTTTTTAAACTATAAATTTATACAGAGTCACCCTGCTTTATATTTCATTTTTATTAAATAAATAATAATAAAAATTTTTAAACTATAAATTTATACAGAATGACACTACTTTATATTTAATTTTTATTAAATAAATAAAAATAATAAAATTTAAATTTATAATTATTTAATTATTAAAATTTTAATATCATATTAAAAAATTATCATACCAGACTTTAAACTATAAAATCTTCGGCACAGCACATGCGCGGAGAATTTTTAACATTAAGCTAATGAGACTGATGGGCAAAGCAGTAGATGCAAAGAAATACAAATCAGAAAAATCTAATGCGGAAAAAATAATACAGATATATCAAAACATGAATAAGATCTTATAATCAAAAGAAAATAGTTTCTAATAAAGTTCAGCAATAACAATAAAGCCCGAAAACTTAAAAAAAGGAAGCTTCAACCTAAAATAGAAATGATTGTTCTCTCTCAAGGCCATCCACTAATAGCAGAACTAATAAGAAGAGAAGCCACAAGAACCATCGTAGTTGAAGGAGTTGCAACCCAAGAAGCAGCTGGAGCCGGAGCGGGGGCAAGGTCCGCCTCATTGGAGCCGGGAGATAATGATGGCCCAGAACTAGACTCAGGTGTTGGGGATGGAGTTGAAGATGGCGGTTTTGCAGGAGTTGGACTTGATGGAGATGGTGATGTTGCTGGTGTTGGAGAGGCAACAGGATGATATGATGGTGAAGGAGTATTAGCCAGTGGACATGGAGATGGAGATGGAGACTTTAATGGCACTGGTGACGGACCTGGAGACCCAGTGAGAGACTCTGGTGAATGTGCTGGTGCAGGAGGCTTAGCATACGGAGATGGTGATGGAGACTTCGAAGGCACTGGCGATATCTGTGGTGTCTTGGTCACTGGTGATGGCCCTGGAGCCCCAGTTGGAGCATTGCTGCTCGGAGCATTGGCAATTGGTGATGGGGATACAGGTGACACTGATGGCACATGAGACGAGGTTGGAGGTTTAGCAATTGGTGCTGAGGATCTTGATGGCGCTTGAGCTGGATTGTGACCTTCTGGGGATGGTGCTTTAGGGGATATAGCTGGGGGATATGCTGGTGTTGAGGTTTGTTTTGTTCTGACCGCAAGCACAACAACAATCAGTTTTTGTCCCTTTCGACAATTATCCTCGTTTCCACTAATGAAAAAGAAAGGACCAGACTTATCAAACTGAAACACAGAGGAACCAGAATCCATAGTCTTGAGAGGCTTCTTTGTGATGCAGCTGCTGTAATCATCTTTTGTCACCCGCAACACAGAGTCCGACCCTTTACTGTACTTGAAGACTACGCCACAAACCCAGAAACCAATGCACAAGAAATTAAAAAACAAACTGAATCTTGTCAATTAAAAACAGTATGTCATTTGCCAAAACAGGAGGACTTACCAAGAGAGTCATTGACTTGGAACCGGTTTCTCTCGGCCCAGTGATTGTAACTCTCAGAGGGGTTTGTAACCCAGCCATCTTTGCCACCTACGTAGAAGCTATTGTAGGCCACAGAAGAAGAGAAGAGGTAGCAAGCAAGCAAAGCCCACAAGAGGCAGAGAGATCCTTGAGACTCCATTTTGAGGGAAATTATTATAGACAAATGAACCTCCTTTTGTATGCCTTCTCTCTATATAGTGAAGGGAACAATGAAAATGGAAGCTGAGGATTTTTGGGATTATTTATCGGAGAATTTGCCTTCAGAAAGGAAGAACGTAAATAATGCCTTGGAAGGATATAAAGAACCTTCCATAAATGCAATAGAAGGTGGGATAAGGGTGACAATATGGGAAAGTGTACTAAATTAAGGGCTTTAATTTGATTTATTCTCTTCTCTCTCTTTTTTTCCCTTTATTTTTGGTGGTATTACAACTATAAAGTCATAAAGAATCATCTTAGAGAAAAAGAAGAACAAAAAAGAAAATGGATACTAAGTTCTTAATTATCAAAAAGAAAATGGATACTGAGTTCTTAATTATTTTCTTGCATAAGTTTCTCATTTTTTTACTTTATTCCATAAATATTAATTTATTTTATTTCATAAAAAATGAATTGTTTTTTATTATAAAAAAACTCTATACACTTTATATTTCATTTGTCTTAATCCTTTGAGATCAGAAAAATAAATAGAGTTGTTATAAAATATCCGTTATCATCCATCAAATATTAATTATTAGTTTATTGTTTTCTATTCCATTCATATATATATATGCGCGCGTGTGTGTGTGATATTTTTCACAGTTAAAATCATATATTTTGAGGTAAATTGTACACTTTACGTCCTGTAATTTAATTACTTTTTTATTTTGTTTTTATTTTTTCATAAATTACAACTTACTTTTTTAGTCAACTTAAAATTTAAAATAAAATAATTAAAAATATGAATTTAATATAATACAAATACACAAACTCCATGTCAATTTCTTTTTCCAATATTTTCCTTTACCTTCTTCCTTCCCTTATTTCTGGTAATCTTTTCTTGGTATCGATCAAAAAACAACATAACTTTTTTCTTGATTATAAGTATTCATATTAATTTATATGTAACTTGATTAATTTTTTAAGATTTTAAAATTAATAATCATTTAAATTTTTAATAGATGGTAAATTTATAATATTTTTCTTTTTTAAATCACGACATATCTTGCTAATAGTCTTGATGCCATGATGTGAAAACTTGCATTTTATGCATTGGAAGAAGCCCCTTCATGTAATATCTTGACAGCTGCACTATCGCACCAAAACCCAAAAAAAACAAAGCAATGTTCTGAGATGTAGCTATGAATGGTAAGCAAGCCTTTAAATGACAAAATCTTGGAATTAAACTGCTTTTATATCTAAAACTCGCTATGCTATGGTCGTGGAAACTACGCTGAAGAGGTGATTTTGAGGATGTGAGCCTTACTGCTTTTGATTACTTGGAGAAGCTTGTGATGGAACATTATCAGAAAGAAGATAAGGTGGGGATTTTCAGGGTTACTAGAAACAGGTCTACTGCTACAACTAAGTTGAATAAAGGGGTTTTGAAGGAGGATCTGCATGGTCACTTTAGATGGCTTAAGAGTACTACTCATGTTGATAGTGATATAGGATTTAGAAAATTCGGTACACCGAAGAAGAATTATGTGGTTCTAGGTGTTGATCTTGTTCCTCCACCAAGGCATTTTTAAACATCGTGGGATGGTGTGGAAGGCTTACAGACATTAAAACCATGGAGACAAAAGGGCATTTCCATGGCAGAAAACGGGCTAAAGGAAGTTGTGGAGACATCTAGGGAATAAATCTTGAAGTTTGCACGGTGGCATCCGAGAATAAAAAATGGAGGATGAGATGGCCGAGTGTGCTGTGGAAAACTTGAAATTTTCTATCGACCAAGCGATAATGAGATAGAAACTTTTTTGATATTTGATCGAAGGTTCTTGCCATAAATAAAACATGAGTAGATAAATTGTTTAATGAAATGTATATAGTGGAGATAGTAGTTTTAATTTCATAGTAATTTTGTAATTTTAATTCTACAAGGTTCTTTGAGCATTAAATGGAATATAATGAAAAATATTCTATAAATAATTCAATATTTTTTTGTTATTATTTTTTTTTGCCCATAGAATGAGGATGTGAAATATTATGAAATTATTAATTCTATAATATAAATTTTATTTACATTATAACATCTAAAAAAAGCAAAGTAAAAAAAAAACTATAAAGGATACAAAATATAATTTATCCTATGTTTTATCGTTTTCTTATATATCGTACACACATCTATTTATGCATGTATGTATATGGACTAAACAAATTATAAAACATATCAAAGACTTGAGGTGTTCAATCCAACTTAAATATTTTTTTATTCACATCCTTTATATTTTATTGTGTTTTTCTATTGAATTTTTTTGTTTTTTATTTAACAATTATATTTTTATACTCTAAAATTAATACTCAATGAACCATGAAACAATATTTAGAATCATGAATGAGCGACAATGTGATATAAAAGAAACATTAATAAAAAAAATGAACATAAAAGAAAGATATAATCCACCATAGGTTGTAATAGTTATCCATATTGTTTTTTTATAATTTTTTCACTTGAGTTTTTTTATTCTCAATTTAATATTTTTATATTAAATTGACTTAAAATTAAATTTAATATTTTTTTCAGCTAGTTTTATATGATATTTTCATGATGTTAAAAATCAGTTTTGACATTGAATTAATGCTTGATTACTCGATTTAGTAAAATAAAATCTAAATTGATTTAAATCAATTAAATATTTAAATATTTTATTTTAAATTGAAATAAATATTCAACTCTTTCTTTCCTAATGAATAACATATTTATCTTAGCTTCTCAACTTAATTTTTAGTTGGAATCAATAAATTTATTATCATTTATTAATATATATAATTTTTAATTTATTTTATTAAATGGGACTTATAAACAGAGTATTAATTTGTATAATACTTGTGTTTTTTTAATTATTGTATGATATTTGTGTTGACATAAAATAAAAAAGGAGAGAAAAAAGGAAATTTTAATTTGTTTGTTGATTTATTTTTATTATTATTTAATTAAGTCGCACAAAACTCTTTTCTCTCTTTAAAATATTTTTAATGACATTTTTAATATGTTTTTTAAGATGTAGTGATATATCCCAAAAAAATCAATAATTTCATAATTTCTAATTTATTGTTCAATTTGTTTTTAATAATTTAAAAGTATTTGTGTCAGAGATATATAAGGTTATGGTATAAGTTTTTAAAAAATTTATATGGAAAGATACATATAAAAAGATGTGATAAGTTATGGTACACATAGTTGTCAAAATAAAAGAATTATTTATTTATTTAATTTTATATTTTTCAAAATAAAAGAATTATTTATTTATTTAACAATCAAAATAATAAATAAGAAAACTATAAGACACAAAACACAAACACACACTCACAAGCTACCTAACATAGTTTTTCGCCTCTATAAAAATATATTTTCGCAAAATATAATGATTAAGTTTCTATATTAAAAATGGTAAATAAGTTATTTAATATTTGTAATCAATTCATGTTTTTATCTTTTATTTAGAATTTGTTGTAACAACTTAAAAATATCAACATATAAAATTATAATTATCTAATGTGTTTAATTAATATCATTGATTTTTAATTTTAAATTTATTTTTATTATTTTTTAAGATAATTCAACAATAAATTAAGTTTAATAAATACATTCAGATAATTCGTAACAGTATCCCTAAGGGCAGCCATGAACTTTTCTCTTGTAATTATAACTAACTTTATATATGCATAAGGAACTAAAATATGTATTAAAAATATTATTTTAGTAATCAATTTAATAAAAATTCAAGGGAAGTTAATAAAAAAATATGAAAAAGTTAATAATCAAGTTTTTATATATAAAAAAGTGAGAAAATTAGTATTAAAATTTATAATTTTGTTATAAAGTTAATAAAAATTTAAGGATATTTAGTCAAATCAAATGTTATAACATATAATTTATATTTTTATATATAATTACGGATACTCACCATTACTGTTTAATCACCAGAGATTTAATTCTACTAGTTATATTAAAAAAATATTGATGAAATTACATATATTTTTTTTAATAATATATCATATTTATCAATAGAATAAAACATGAATTTTTTTTTATGTGTTTTTTCATCTAGAAATTTATTACTAATTAAATTATTGATAGAATTACCGACATAACATAAATTGTCCACAAACTTTTTGCTAACAACAGTAATTACCTATGAGCCAATCGGTAAAAATCATTTTGACACAATCAATATTTAATTATCAATATCATATTCCATCAATTAATTACAAAGTTCTTAATGTAGAAAATGCAATCAAATATTTAGAGTGTGATCAAAGGATGGTAAATTATATCATAAAAGAAAATTCTATGCAGAATTTTATTCATATTAATAGATGGCGATGTGATTTCGTTTGGGCGTAAGCATTACATTCCTATTCTTCATTCTTTTCTCTCTTTTTTTTTTTTTTTATTTAGCATAACCTTCTTTTTAGCTCTGTGCAAAGGAAAATGAATTCCATTTACCTTTTAAGAAGATAGTTTTTCCAAACCTTTGGACAAGAATGAAACATTTTTTTCTTAAATTATTTTAAAAATAGAAAATATCTTCTAAAATATTTTAATGCCATGAATTTTACAATGTTATGAAAAATATGATGATAATATAATGATGATACTAGAGAATGATAAAATGATTATAATTTTAATAATATTAGTAATGATTATAATAGTAATTGTAATAGTGACGTAGATGATTATTAATAGTGATTATAAAGAAGAGATATGTTATTGATTTATTATATAATATTTTATCTCTTTAAGAAATAAAGTAAGTTAATTTATTGATTTATTATGGAATATTTTACTAAAAAACACGAGAAAATAAAAAATATATGCTTTTATAAAATATTTTACTGGAACACAAATGCCTTTGTTTAGGCATGTAAACCGCTAATGCGCATCAATTTTTATTTGTATTTTTTATTATGAATAAATATCAATAAAAAGTTCAGGACTATACTTCAATAAAAACCCTTCGTTTTGGTGGGTTAGGAGTGGCCATGATTTATTTTTCTTCCTTAAATATGGTGAGGGGACATAAATATTTATTATTCATTTTTCTTGCATTAATATATTATTGTA